TCTCTGTCTCTGTCTCTGTCTCTGCCTGTCTCTGTCTGTCTCTGTCTCTGTCTCTGTCTCTGTTTCTGTCTCTGTCTGTCTCTGTCTGTCTCTGTCTGTCTCTGTCTCTGTCTCTGTCTCTGCCTGTCTCTGTCTCTGTCTCTGCCTGTTTCTGTCTCTGTCTCTGTCTCTGTCTCTGCCTGTTTCTGTCTCTGTCTGTCTCTGTCTGTCTCTGTCTGTCTCTGTCTCTGTCTCTGTCTCTGCCTGTCTCTGTCTCTGCCTGTTTCTGTCTCTGTCTCTGTCTTTGTCTGTCTCTGTCTGTCTCTGTCTGTCTCTGTCTGTCTCTGTCTGTCTCTTACTCTGTCTCTGTCTCTGCCTGTCTCTGTCTCTGCCTGTTTCTGTCTCTGTCTCTGTCTTTGTCTGTCTCTGTCTGTCTCTGTCTGTCTCTGTCTGTCTCTGTCTGTCTCTGTCTGTCTCTGTCTCTGTCTCTGTCTCTGTCTGTCTCTGTCTCTGCCTGTTTCTGTCTCTGTCTCTGTCTCTGTCTCTCTCTGTCTCTATCTCTCTCTGTCTCTCTCTGTCTCTGCCTGTCTCTGTCTCTGTCTCTGCCTGTTTCTGTCTCTGTCTCTGTCTCTGTCTCTGCCTGTTTCTGTCTCTGTCTGTCTCTGTCTGTCTCTGTCTGTCTCTGTCTGTCTCTGTCTGTCTCTGTCTCTGTCTCTGTCTCTGCCTGTCTCTGTCTCTGCCTGTTTCTGTCTCTGTCTCTGTCTTTGTCTGTCTCTGTCTGTCTCTGTCTGTCTCTGTCTGTCTCTGTCTGTCTCTGTCTGTCTCTGTCTGTCTCTGTCTGTCTCTGTCTGTCTCTGTCTGTCTCTGTCTGTCTCTGTCTCTGTCTCTGTCTCTGTCTCTGTCTGTCTCTGTCTCTGCCTGTTTCTGTCTCTGTCTCTGTCTCTGTCTGTCTCTGTCTCTGTCTCTGTCTGTCTCTGTCTCTGTCTCTGTCTGTCTCTGTCTGTCTCTGTCTCTGTCTCTGTCTCTGTCTCTGTCTCTGTCTCTGCCTGTTTCTGTCTATGTCTCTGTCTGTCTCTGTCTGTCTCTGTCTGTCTCTGTCTGTCTCTGTCTCTGTCTCTGTCTCTGTCTGTCTCTGTCTCTGCCTGTTTCTGTCTCTGTCTCTGTCTCTGTCTCTCTCTGTCTCTATCTCTCTCTGTCTCTCTCTGTCTCTGCCTGTCTCTGTCTCTGTCTCTGCCTGTTTCTGTCTCTGTCTCTGTTTCTGTCTCTGTCTCTGTCTCTGTCTCTGCCTGTTTCTGTCTCTGTCTGTCTCTGTCTGTCTCTGTCTGTCTCTGTCTGTCTCTGTCTGTCTCTGTCTCTGTCTCTGTCTCTGCCTGTCTCTGTCTCTGCCTGTTTCTGTCTGTCTCTGTCTTTGTCTGTCTCTGTCTGTCTCTGTCTGTCTCTGTCTGTCTCTGTCTGTCTCTGTCTGTCTCTGTCTGTCTCTGTCTGTCTCTGTCTGTCTCTGTCTCTGTCTGTCTCTGTCTGTCTCTGTCTCTGTCTCTGTCTCTGTCTCTGTCTGTCTCTGTCTCTGTCTCTGTCTGTCTCTGTCTCTGCCTGTTTCTGTCTCTGTCTCTGTCTCTGTCTGTCTCTGTCTCTGTCTCTGTCTGTCTCTGTCTCTGTCTCTGTCTGTCTCTGTCTGTCTCTGTCTCTGTCTCTGTCTCTGTCTCTGTCTCTGTCTCTGCCTGTTTCTGTCTATGTCTCTGTCTGTCTCTGTCTGTCTCTGTCTCTGTCTGTCTCTGTCTGTCTCTGTCTGTCTCTGTCTCTGTCTCTGTCTGTCTCTGTCTGTCTCTGTCTCTGTCTCTGTCTGTCTCTGTCTCTGTCTCTGTCTCTGTCTCTGCCTGTTTCTGTCTCTGTCTCTGTCTCTGTCTGTCTCTGTCTCTGTCTCTGTCTCTGTCTATCTCTGTCTCTGTCTCTGTCTGTCTCTGTCTCTGTCTCTGTCTGTCTCTGTCTGTCTCTGTCTGTCTGTCTCTGTCTCTGCCTGTTTCTGTCTCTGTCTCTGTCTCTGTCTCTGCCTGTTTCTGTCTCTGTCTGTCTCTGTCTGTCTCTGTCTGTCTCTGTCTCTGTCTCTGTCTCTGCCTGTCTCTGTCTCTGTCTCTGCCTGTTTCTGTCTCTGTCTCTGTTTCTGTCTCTGTCTGTCTCTGTCTGTCTCTGTCTCTGTTTCTGTCTCTGTCTGTCTCTGTCTGTCTCTGTCTGTCTCTGTCTGTCTCTGTCTCTGTCTGTCTCTGTCTGTCTCTGTCTGTCTCTGTCTCTGTCTCTGTCTGTCTCTGTCTGTCTCTGTCTCTGTCTCTGTCTGTCTCTGTCTCTGTCTCTGTCTCTGTCTCTGCCTGTTTCTGTCTCTGTCTCTGTCTCTGTCTGTCTCTGTCTCTGTCTCTGTCTCTGTCTATCTCTGTCTCTGTCTCTGTCTGTCTCTGTCTCTGTCTCTGTCTGTCTCTGTCTGTCTCTGTCTGTCTGTCTCTGTCTCTGCCTGTTTCTGTCTCTGTCTCTGTCTCTGTCTCTGCCTGTTTCTGTCTCTGTCTGTCTCTGTCTGTCTCTGTCTGTCTCTGTCTCTGTCTCTGTCTCTGCCTGTCTCTGTCTCTGTCTCTGCCTGTTTCTGTCTCTGTCTCTGTTTCTGTCTCTGTCTCTGTCTCTGTCTCTGCCTGTTTCTGTCTCTGTCTGTCTCTGTCTGTCTCTGTCTGTCTCTGTCTGTCTCTGTCTGTCTCTGTCTCTGTCTCTGTCTCTGCCTGTCTCTGTCTCTGCCTGTTTCTGTCTCTGTCTCTGTCTTTGTCTGTCTCTGTCTGTCTCTGTCTGTCTCTGTCTGTCTCTGTCTGTCTCTGTCTGTCTCTGTCTGTCTCTGTCTGTCTCTGTCTGTCTCTGTCTGTCTCTGTCTGTCTCTGTCTCTGTCTGTCTCTGTCTGTCTCTGTCTCTGTCTCTGTCTCTGTCTCTGTCTGTCTCTGTCTCTGTCTCTGTCTGTCTCTGTCTCTGCCTGTTTCTGTCTCTGTCTCTGTCTCTGTCTGTCTCTGTCTCTGTCTCTGTCTGTCTCTGTCTCTGTCTCTGTCTGTCTCTGTCTGTCTCTGTCTCTGTCTCTGTCTCTGTCTCTGTCTCTGTCTCTGCCTGTTTCTGTCTATGTCTCTGTCTGTCTCTGTCTGTCTCTGTCTCTGTCTGTCTCTGTCTGTCTCTGTCTGTCTCTGTCTCTGTCTCTGTCTGTCTCTGTCTGTCTCTGTCTCTGTCTCTGTCTGTCTCTGTCTCTGTCTTTGTCTGTCTCTGTCTGTCTCTGTCTGTCTCTGTCTGTCTCTGTCTGTCTCTGTCTGTCTCTGTCTGTCTCTGTCTGTCTCTGTCTCTGTCTCTGTCTCTGTCTCTGTCTCTGTCTGTCTCTGTCTCTGCCTGTTTCTGTCTCTGTCTCTGTCTCTGTCTCTCTCTGTCTCTGTCTGTCTCTGTCTGTCTCTGTCTCTGTCTCTGTCTCTGTCTCTGTCTGTCTCTGTCTCTGCCTGTTTCTGTCTCTGTCTCTGTCTCTGTCTCTCTCTGTCTCTGTCTCTCTCTGTCTCTCTCTGTCTCTGCCTGTCTCTGTCTCTGTCTCTGCCTGTTTCTGTCTCTGTCTCTGTCTCTGTCTCTGCCTGTTTCTGTCTCTGTCTCTGTCTCTGTCTGTCTCTGTCTCTGTCTCTGTCTGTCTCTGTCTCTGTCTCTGTCTGTCTCTGTCTGTCTCTGTCTCTGTCTCTGTCTGTCTCTGTCTCTGTCTCTGTCTCTGTCTCTGTCTCTGCCTGTTTCTGTCTCTGTCTCTGTCTCTGTCTGTCTCTGTCTCTGTCTCTGTCTCTGTCTATCTCTGTCTCTGTCTCTGTCTGTCTCTGTCTCTGTCTCTGTCTGTCTCTGTCTGTCTCTGTCTGTCTGTCTCTGTCTCTGCCTGTTTCTGTCTCTGTCTCTGTCTCTGTCTCTGCCTGTTTCTGTCTCTGTCTGTCTCTGTCTGTCTCTGTCTGTCTCTGTCTCTGTCTCTGTCTCTGCCTGTCTCTGTCTCTGCCTGTTTCTGTCTCTGTCTCTGTCTTTGTCTGTCTCTGTCTGTCTCTGTCTGTCTCTGTCTGTCTCTGTCTGTCTCTGTCTCTGTCTCTGTCTCTGCCTGTCTCTGTCTCTGCCTGTTTCTGTCTCTGTCTCTGTCTTTGTCTGTCTCTGTCTGTCTCTGTCTGTCTCTGTCTGTCTCTGTCTGTCTCTGTCTGTCTCTGTCTCTGTCTCTGTCTCTGTCTGTCTCTGTCTCTGCCTGTTTCTGTCTCTGTCTCTGTCTCTGTCTCTCTCTGTCTCTATCTCTCTCTGTCTCTCTCTGTCTCTGCCTGTCTCTGTCTCTGTCTCTGCCTGTTTCTGTCTCTGTCTCTGTCTCTGTCTCTGCCTGTTTCTGTCTCTGTCTGTCTCTGTCTCTCTCTGTCTGTCTCTGTCTGTCTCTGTCTGTCTCTGTCTCTGTCTCTGTCTCTGCCTGTCTCTGTCTCTGCCTGTTTCTGTCTCTGTCTCTGTCTTTGTCTGTCTCTGTCTGTCTCTGTCTGTCTCTGTCTGTCTCTGTCTGTCTCTGTCTGTCTCTGTCTGTCTCTGTCTGTCTCTGTCTGTCTCTGTCTGTCTCTGTCTGTCTCTGTCTCTGTCTCTGTCTCTGTCTCTGTCTGTCTCTGTCTCTGCCTGTTTCTGTCTCTGTCTCTGTCTCTGTCTGTCTCTGTCTCTGTCTCTGTCTGTCTCTGTCTCTGTCTCTGTCTGTCTCTGTCTGTCTCTGTCTCTGTCTCTGTCTCTGTCTCTGTCTCTGTCTCTGTCTCTGCCTGTTTCTGTCTATGTCTCTGTCTGTCTCTGTCTCTGTCTGTCTCTGTCTGTCTCTGTCTGTCTCTGTCTCTGTCTCTGTTCTCCACCCCCATGTGTGGCCGCATACATGGAGACTCTAATCAGGAGCTGCACGCCCTATATGCACCGGGTGGTGGCAGAAAAGGACGTGCGTTTCTATGTGCCCATGTGTTCCCGTGCGTGTCTGTGCCCTCGTCGTATCCCAGCTCCTGGAAACCCTAATCAAGAACTGCACGCCTTACGTGCACCGAGTGGTGGCGGAGAAGGACGTGCCGGCAGAGATGGCCAAGATCGCCAGGAAGAAGGTGATCACGTAACACCCCTGCACGGTTGCGTTGCTATGTGTTGGGATCGTTGCAGTATTGTTACTACTCTCCCTCTTACTCTGCTTTTCCTGAGACTGCTTCCACTTTCTCCCGTACGGCCCTATAATCCGCAAGGCATGAGGACGGCGGCGCATTCTGGTGGGGTTGTTGGGTGCGCAGTCAGCTTGACACGCTCGTTTCCTGTCCTGCCTCCTTGTGCGGAGGGGCCGCCCACACCCCCCTTCCCCCTCCCTCGTGTAATGAGCGGGTGCCAAGACCTCCCTGCAGCACGCCCTTCAGCTGCTGGATTCCTGCTCGTTTCCTGTCCCCTTCTTAAGTCGTCACCAAGCCCAGTCCTTGCGCGGCGCAAGTTGCCCCCCTCTCCCATCCGCCCCTTCCCACTGCGACTACGAGGTGCGGGGCAGCGTCTTAGAGCTGCACGACTTGTGGCAGGAGTGCCAGTGTTTGAGCCTCCTGAGACTTACCCGCACCCCCTCCCCCCTTCCCCCTCCCCCACCCCTTTACTCCCACCCCCCCTGTTTCTCCCCCCTTAGTGCGACAAGGAGGTGCGGGGGCGCATTCTGGAGCTGCTGGATCTGTGGCAGGAGGCCTTTGGGGGAGCTGTTATTGAGGCACCTAAAAAATACTCCCTCTCCCTCCACCCCCCCTCCCCCCCTGTTTCTCCCCCCTTCAGTGCGACGAGGAGGTGTGCGGGCCTATCCTGGAGCTGCTGGACCTGTGGCAGGAGGCCTTTGGGGGAGCTGTTACTGAGGTGCTTCAATATGACCCCCTCCCTCTTCCCCCTCTCCCCTTCCCCCTTCCCCCCATACCCTCTCACCCCTCCCACTTCCCCCATACCCCCTCTCCCCTCCCCCCTCCCCCCGCAGTGCGACGAGGAGGTGCGGGGGCGCATCCTGGAGCTGCTGGACCTGTGGCAGGAGGCCTTTGGAGGAGCAGGTGGACGGCCGCCCCAGTTCTTCCTGGCGTATGATGAGCTCAAGGTGCGGGCAGCAGTGCTTTCAGGTGCTCAAGGTGCAGGCAGCAGTGTTTTCAGGTGCTCAAGGTGCGGGCAGCAGTGTTTTCAGGTGCTCAAGGTGCAGGCAGCAGTGTTTTCAGGTGCTCAAGGTGCGGGCAGCAGTGTTTTCAGGTGCTCAAGGTGCGGGCAGCAGTGTTTTCAGGTGCTCAAGGTGCAGGCAGCAGTGTTTTCAGGTGCTCAAGGTGCAGGCAGCAGTGTTTTCAGGTGCTCAAGGTGCGGGCAGCAGTGCTTTCAAGCGCTCAAGGTGCGGTCAGGGATGCTGCTTGCTTTGGGGCGCCTCAAACCGCTGCAGGTATTCCTTGCTTATCACGAGCTCAACGTGGGACCGTGAGACCTTAAGGTGGACCCCAACACGACCCCAACAGAGTCATGCCTTTATTACGCCGCCGCAGACTCAACCCAGCCACACACAACCCCCTGCGTCCAACCCCTTCCCCCCCCTCTCCCCCCCCCCCACACACACACAACGACCCCCTAACCCCCCCCTCTCTGCCTCTGCAGCGCATAAGTATGCCGTTCCCCTCCCGCGACTCGAACAGAGTCGTGCCCCATCTCTTCCCACATTTTCACGCTGCCCCATACGCAACCCAGCCACAACTCCCTTCGTCCAACCCTTCTCCCCCCCCCCACTCTTACCACCACCCCACCCACAACCCCCTGACCCCATCTCTCTGCTTCTCTAGCGCATGGGCATGACCATCCCCCCCCCGTGACGTGACCCCAACAGAGCCGTGCCCGCATTCACCCCACCGCAGACCAACGCGTGCAACCCCAACAGAGTTGTGACCGTGTTCACATCCACGCCTCCCCAGACCAGACCCGACTGCCAACGTTCCTCTCTTCCCCTCTCCCCTGCCACACAACTGCTCTCCCTTCTCTGTCAGTGCAGCGCATGGGAATGAACTCCCCCCCTCCGCGACCCCAACAGACCCAACTAGGCGTCAACCCCCTTATTTCCAACTGTTTCCTCCAACTCTAACTCCCCCTCCCCCCCCCCCACACCTCCCCCCCCCCCCGCCCCCCCGTGTGCATGTTCAGCGCATGGGCATGCCCTTCCCCCCCCGCGACCCCAACAGAGTCGTGCCCGTGTTCACGCCGCCCCAGACCCATCCCACCATGAGCCACGGCGGCCCTCCCCAGATGTACCCGCCCCAGTCATACCCTCCCCAGACTTACCCGCCCCGTATCCCCGTGGCCATGGGGTACCCTGTTGGGAGTGGGGGGGGAGGGGAGGAGATACCTCCGCATTTGCTGCAAGAGACAACCGCAACCACAATGACGTGAGTGCTGCTCCTGGGTATCTACACAGTTTTTTGCCATGCTGGCTGCACACTTCTTTTGAGTCGATTCAAAAGCAAGCAAGGGTCCAGACAGAGCTTCGGGTCGCAAGATGCTACGCTTCTCCACAATATTGTGGCGGTAGGCAATATAGGCAGTCGTGATTTTTTAGGCGCCTAAAAAATTGTGGTGGTAGGCAATATAGGCAGGCAGTCGTGATGAAATTGAAAGCAGCGCCGACTACAAACAGGTGTGGCGGCAGCCTGACCACCAACCTGCTGCGAGAACCCGAAGCTCTGGAGACTGGACCCTTGCTTGAGTCGACTCAATTGGCTGCACGTGCATTTGCGCTTTCAGCTCCCCAAAAGGCTGGTGACCTGAATGATAGATGCTCCCCACGTGCATAAATGCGTGCAGCGCAGTAAGTAGGTGCCTTGCCACTGTCATCCAAGTCCCTCCCCCTCCCGTTTTGACCCCCCTCCGATCTCACTCCCCCTCTCTCCTCCCTGTTCCTTACGTCTCCCACAGCGCTACTGACCTGAATGCGCGCAGCACGGTGGATCTGCTGGGGGAGATGCTGGCCTTTGTTGAGTGGGGCCTCAATGCCGCCTCCATGCTCTCATGCGCTCTTGCCTGCGCCTGTGCCTGTTTCCTCATGCATCTGGCCCCTCGTATCGCTCACAGCGCTGCTGATCTGGTGAATGCGCGCAGCACGGTGGATCTGCTGGGGGAGATGCTGGCTTTTGTTGAGTGGGGCCTCAATGCCACCTCCATGCTCTCATGCGCTCTTGCCTGCGCCTGTGCCTGTTTCCTCATGCATCTGGCCCCTCGTATCGCCCACAGCGCTGCTGACCTGGTGAATGCGCGCAGCACGGTGGATCTGCTGGGGGAGATGCTAGCGTCTGTGGACACCAACAACCCTGCTGTACGTTTCATCAGCAGCCAGCCAGGCTGTGAATTTTCCGCATGTTTTCTGGCTTCCAGTGATTGCTTTTTGGGCTTCCAGTGATTGCTTTCTGGGCTTCCAGTGATTGCTTTCTGGGCTTCCAGTGATTGCTTTCTGGGCTTCCAGTGATTGCTTTCTGGGCTTCCAGGGATTGCTTTCTGGGCTTCCAGTGATTGCTTTCTGGGCTTCCAGTGATTGCTTTCTGGGCTTCCAGTGATTGTTTTCGTGCAGAGCACAGTTGATGAGAACTTGCGCACAGGTGTTTTGCTCTAGATTTTCTTGCTATGCGCAACTACCCATACTTACCACTTGTCCAATCTTACATGCGTTTAACAGAACCGCACTGCCTTGCCCCTCGTTCCTCTCCGCCCTTGCCCGCTTTCCTTTCCCATTGCAGGTACCCAATGACTGCAACAGTGAAGGGGTGCAGAGCAAGCCGGCTTGCTGACACGCTCTCATGCCCCTCCCCTCCCTCTGTCCCTCCATCCCTATGTGCAGGCTGCCAGCACGAGGTGATCTCTGATCGGGGACTTGGTGGAGCCGTCGCACGCACACGGCACTGCTGTTCCACCCGTTCCTCTCCATTATTCACTCTCTCTCTACCCCCTCCCCTCCCTCCTTCCCTCCCGCCCTGTGTGCAGGCCGCCAGTGACGAGGTGATCTCTGACCTGGTGGAGCAGACAGATCGGGGACTTGGTGGAGCCGTCGCACGCACACGGCACTGCTGTTCCACCCGTTCCTCTCCATTATTCACTCTCTCTCTACCCCCTCCCCTCCCTCCTTCCCTCCCGCCCTGTGTGCAGGCCGCCAGTGACGAGGTGATCTCTGACCTGGTGGAGCAGACACGCACGCTGCAGCAGCAGCTTACAGCGGCACTCAACACAGCCACGTGAGTGGGGGTGGTTGGGTTGGAGGGTGAGGGATGGTTGGAGATCGAGGAAAACGCATCCCCATGACTGGCAGCTGTTCTCAGATGCTAATTTCTGTTTTGAAGCCTGGCTTCGAGTGTTACACTGTACGGCATTCCCCCCCCTCTTTTCACCACGTCCCTCCCCCCTCCTCACTAACCAAAACTCGAAGCATTACCCACTGTGAGCATTACTCAATGTGAGCATTACTCAATGTGAGAGCATTACTCATGTGAGCATTACTGACTGTGCACTTGTGCCACAGCAGGCAGTATCCATCCCAAGGCCAGTGTCGTAGAGGACTGTGACATGCAAAAGCAGCTGGAAAGACATCAGCAGCCTCTGGGACTCCCGCTCCCTCCTCACCCCGTCCCAACCCCCCCCCACCCTCACCCCTACTCAGCTACTCGCAATTCCCGTTCCGGGGCCTGGCTCTGAACAACAGCATGCAGAGGCACCCGGCCACACACAGCAGACTCTTGCTCGTTCCCCTTCCATCCTGCCGTTCCTCCCCTTTCCCTTCACCTCCTTTACGTGACGCCCTCCCCACCCTCGCCCCAAATCTTCTCGACCTGACCCAACCCTTAATTCACATCCCCAACCCTGCAGCCGACCAGCAGTTTCTCTTCCAAGGGCTGGTGCTGAGCGACGACCTGAAGGGCCAGGCCTGTGTGGTCGTGCAGCAGGGTGCTATGCTTCCAGATGCACCTGGACCAGCACAGCAGCCTGCTGCCCTTGCCTCACTCCCTGCCACTCCCTCCCTTTCCCTTCATCTCACTTCTAACCCCGTCGCCCCCACCTTGCTTGCAGAGACGAGCAATTCCTATTTCAGGGCCTGGCGCTGAACGACGACATGCAGAAGCACCTGGACAAGCACAGCAGCCTACTCGCCTCCTCGCTACACCGAGGGGGTGACGACTGCCACAGCGACAGCAGCAGCGGCGGCGCCTCTCCTCCCCGCTCTGGCGCCTATCAATCCCACCCTACTCAGGGTCCGACTGTGAATCGCGGCCAGCAGTACGATGAGTGGGCAGCAGGGGTGACGGCAGGGCTGCCCTTGGCTCGCTTTGAACCCGACCAGGCAGAAGAGGAGGCAGATGCAGAGGGAGGACGGCCGCATGGGGTGCAGCCCTCTGGTGCTGCTGCTGCAGGCCCATCCACATCCTCCCACCCTCCTGCTGCTGCAGGTCAAGCAAGCCAAGGAAGCGCACCAGGGCAAGCAGGGCAGCCGGCCCATCAATCCTTAGCAGCAGCACGAGCCGCCGCCGCAGCAGCAGCAGGTGCGCCTGCCACGGCCGTGTCCCCTCCGACGCAGGACCTGCTGAGCCTGGACCTCGTCCCCTCCAACGCCCCCCCTCCCCACCCCCACCCCTCCACCTTTGCTGCCAACACTCCCGGCTCCACTGCCGCCTCCCCCTTCGCCTCTCCCTTTGATGAGCCGCCTTTCCAGGCCACCCCCGCAGGTCCGTCTCCTTCCGGTGGTGGTGGTGCACCACCGTATGCGTTCAATGGCTCCTTCCAGCAGCAGCAGCAGCAGCCACAGCAAGCGTATGGGGGTGCAGGGGGGTATGGAGGCATTGGAGGGGGAATGGGTGGTGGGATGGGTGGTGGAATGGGTGGGTATGGTACAGGTGCAGTTGTGCCGGGAGGGCCAAACCAGCCTGCTTCGTATGTCGTGCCTTGGGCTCGTGCCCCTCAAAGCGCCACCCCACAGCAGCAGCAGCAGCAGCAGCAGCAGCAGCAGCAGCAACAGCAGGGACCAGGGGGGGCTGCCTTGAGTCCGCAGCAACAAGCAATGCTCTTTGGTGGTGGTAACCCCCCTCCTCTCAACCTGTCACAGCAGGGAGGGGGGCCCTCAGGTGGAGGGATGGGTGCGGGCCCAAGCATGTATGGACCAAACCCCACGTACCCCTACCATCAACAGCAGCAGCAGCAGAGGAGGGCAGGAGAAGTTATGACAGGCCCTGCTGCTGACTATGTTCACGGCCAAGTCTTTAGAGGCACAGGGTGATTCGCTCTAGGGGTTTCAGAAATGTGGTGAGGCCAGCAAGAAGTCGTTCGATTTGAAGCGCACTCCAGTGCGATGGGCTATATGGTTCGTGTGATGGTCTGCTCACTCCAGTGCTGCATCTAATCAGGTAACTGAGGTTGTAGGGGAGTTGGGTTGGGCAGGCTTTTTTGTTTAAGGGTGCACGTGTTGCTGTTGCCGTATGTTTTGCCAGTGCACATTTAGCATTTAGCAGGAACTTGACAGATTATGGGGTTGTTGGTTGCGTTCAAGCACAACCCACGGTAGAGGGTTCAGTTCTGGTACACTACACCAAGAGGAATTTGTAGTACAGTAGAAGCCCGGATATTAGACCCCTATGTCTTATCATATACCTAGATGAAAGACTGGAAAGTTGCTTATAAATGGAACAAAATGAGGGGAGGGGGGGGAGGGTTGTGTGTTTCTTATAAATGGAAAATTGTCTTATAAAAGGAACTGTTGTGATTCAAAAGTGCAACGAGGGTGTAATGCTCTGTTGGGCTGAGAAAAGCCCTTAGGATCTTTTGCAGAGACTAAGTCCCAGCTGTAGAGACTTGAGACTTGGAGTAGTGCAGCGGAAGTTGAGGCAGTTGAACCCTTGTACTAGTATGTGAGAACAAGTGATTGATTAAAGAAACAAGCATACAGCAATATATAGAAGATAAGAAAGCAGTTGTAGAATACAGTTACAGGAACGGTTTATCGAGTCGCACAGCGACTCGATTGCCGCTTCGGTTACCATCCGTGATGTTGTAACGGTCAGTCGCAACCTCCAGTTGCGACCTTTCGAGTCCTTTCGCATTCTTTGTCCGCCCCCTCGTGTAACCTCCGTTGACTCGCGTGCTCCCCTGTAATCTTCCTCGAGTACAGTGTTACACTTCAGAAACGCTTAAGTCCTTGAGATATTTCCAACACTCCCCTTCGTTTCTGGAGTGCTGGAGTGTTCAGATCCGGTGACGTTTGTTTGCCCGGTTAGGAGCATGCAGTAGTCGAATTTTGCTTTCGCCAATTTCTTCGTCAGATAATCTGAGGCCATTTCTGTCGTCGGGCAGTAACTGAGTTGAAGTCTCCCCTTCGCGATTTCATCCTTGACGAAGAAGTACCGCAGGGCGATGTGCTTGGTTCGGTTGGCGAAGCCGTCCTTGTTCGCGATTTTGATCGCAGATTGGTTGTCGCAGAGGAGTGAGAAGGCGGGCAGGGTCGCGATCTTCGCTTCTTCGAGTAACTCTCGTAGGTAGAGTCCTTCCTTGGTCGCAGTACAAAGGGCGATATACTCTGCTTCAGCCGAGGATAGTGCGATTAACTCCTGCTTGCTCGACTGCCAGGAGATAGTTCCGATAGGTTCTAGTCGGTAGATGTAGCCCGTCCTAGACCGTCGATTTTCGCTGTCTCCCGCGTGGTCGGCGTCGACGTATCCGAGTAGTTGTACGGACGGTGTTGTTGCCTTGCTGTAGGTGAGCCCGATCGTCGGCGTGGAGACGAAGTAGAGTAGCGCTCGATTGAGTTCTTCGAGATCTTCCTGTTGCGGCTGCTTCAGATGTGTCGCCAGCTGACTCGCACTATAGGATAGGTCGGGTCGGCAGGTTACTGCTGCGAATAGTAGGCAGCCGAGCTTCTGTTGATACTCCTGGATTTGTTTCGCGGGGAGTTTTGTGGAGGCGCTACTGTTGTTCCCATAGCGGTAGGGAGTTGGGACCGCAGTCGGTGCTAGACCGAATTTCTTCGCGACGGTGCTTGAGTACTTTCCAGCGTGTAGGTAGAACGCCGTGTCGTCTTCGACGATGTTCAGTCCTAGGTACTGGGTAACTTCGTCGGACACCGTGAGCGTCAGGTCCCTTTTCAGCTCCCCTTCGAACCAGGTGACGATGTCGGTGGTAGAACCGATGTAGAGCAGGTCGTCGACGTAGACGATGAGCAGAATGTAATCTCTTCCCTTCTGTAGTCGGTACATGCCTTGGTCATGTGGTAGCTGTAGGAATCCGATTTTTACGAGCCGGCCGTGAAGGTGCTGCTGCCAGAGCCGTGGGGCTTGCTTGATCCCGTAAAGGGATTTTTCCAGCTGGCATACTTTTGAAGGGTCGTCGATGAATCCGTGGGGTTGTTCGACGAAGATTTCGGCGTCCACAGGTGCGTACAAGAAGGCGTTTGCAACGTCGATTTGCCGTAGTGGTAGTTTCTTCGTGGCCGCGATGGCGAGTAGGATGCGCAGAGAGGTGTGACGGGAGACTGGAGCGAAGGTTTCTGTGTAGTCGGTTCCGTATCGTTGATCGAAGCCTCGTACGACCCATCGAGCTTTGAATCGTTCGATGGAGCCGTCTGAGTTGGTCTTGATGCGGTACACCCATTTCCCCGAGAGAATGTTCTTCCCGTTGATGCTCGTTGCAGGTACCAGTTTCCATGTTTCTCGGTCTTGCAGAGCTTTTAACTCTTTTTCCATCGCTTCCTTCCATTGTGCCTTATGTTCCCCCCCCAGAGCCTGCGACAGGGTCGACGGCTCGCGCGGAGAAGGCGGCGGCGGGTGCTGGACGGAGACCCATAGTCCTAGGATCTGCAGTCCCGTGGCTGTGTGTCGAGGGGAGTTTTCATTCTCGGGATAAGCTGCTTCATCACCGTCTTCAGGATCGGGTAAGAAGTTTGGCCCGATGCGTTCGGAAATATTCGAGTCGACGGGGTATGGTGTAGCGTAGCCTTGGTCAGCGAAGTGGTAAAAGGTGTCGAGGTTGTTGCTATCGAGGGGATTATCTTCATCGAGTGGAACAGGTACGGAGCAGTAGGGGAGTGGTCCGGCAGCCTCCGAGGCTCCAGGGACGTCTTCTTCTGCTGCGTCAGCCTCGGCAGCATGGTCAGCGAAGGAGCGAAGGCCCGCGAAGCCGTCGGTGGGGTCGTCTGAGTTGGCAATGTTGTCCAGGTAATGCTGCAGCGTCAGTCGCTCGTAGAAGATAACATCACGTGATGCCACCGTATTTTTGTCGTGTATGTCGAGAATCTTCCACGCGTGAAAATGTTTGGCGATGCCGAGGTGTAGTCCCCACCGAGCTCGTTGAGTGAAGCGTCCTGCTCGAGCTGTGTGGGGTCTGTATTGTACCATGCAGCCGAAAACTCGAAGTAATTTTGTGCTGCCCCTTTTTCCCGTCCACAGCAGGTGCGGTGATGCGTTGTTGGGGAGCGATGACGAGGACAACAGGTTGTGCAGGTGGACTGCATGTGTCATCGCGTCTGGCCACAGTGTATTGGGCAGCCTCATCCCCAGAAGCAGTTTTCGCATCGTCGTCTGCAAGGTCCGGTTCATGCGTTCTGCTACCCCCTGCTGCTGGTGAGCATAGGGCAGAGACACCAGGCGTCGGATTCCCCTTTCCGCGAGATAGGTCCTGAAGCGTTGTGACTGGTATTCCAGTGCACCGTCTGACTGGAAACTCTTGAGTTTGGTTCCTGACTCTCGTTCGGCGATTGGAAGCCATGTGGTGAAGGCCTCGAAGGCTTGATCGCGCGTTTTGAGATTGAAGTGCCAGACGTATCTGGTTGCGGCGTCGATGAACGTGATGACGTAGTTGAAATCGGCTTCGGTGTCGTCTCGAGGCATGTTTAGAATATCGCTGTAGACCTTTTCCATCGGAGCGTAAGTGGGTGCGCTTGGATTGTGATGGGCTGGGAAAGGTTGATGAGGAAGATCTGCTTCGGGGCACGTGAAGCATCGTGCTCTTGGTCGGCGAAGTTCTTGGCCGCTCGTCGTTAGAAGGGCGTTACGTTCTAACACTTCTGCTTGTATTGTTTGTAGTATCGTGCTGTTTGCAGGGTGTCCGAGACGTTGGTGCCAGATGTCGTCGGGAGCGCGGTGACCGGGCGAGCGGTGGTAGATGTCGGCGTTGGAGAAGAACGCGACGACCGAGGCGGGACTTCGACAAGCTTCTCGTGTGGCGGGCATAAGTTGGTCTGCTTCCGTTGGCGGTCCTCGTGTTGATGGTGGTGGTACTCGGCTGGGTCCTGCTGCCGATACTGCAGGTGATGGTTTTGTTGGGACGCTTGCTGGTACTTGTCTTTCTTGTCTGATAACTGCTAATGCCCGTGTTCTCTCTGCTGCAGGTATGGTGTTGGAGTGCCAGAAGCCGTCACTGTCGAAGTCGGGATCAAGATCTGGTGGGTGAGTCCAGGCGGCGAACGATACGATGCCATCGCTGTCGGCAGTTCCGCGGTCGGGGACGAAGTCCAACACGAAGACACCGGACTTCAGGAGGGCACGACCGATGAAGAGACCGCCCTTCCCGTGGTAAAGTCGGAACTCGTTGGAGAAGGAGTCGCACTCCAGGTGAATCCCCTTAGCCATTAGTTGGCTTACGCTTAGTAGGTTGTATCCCAGATTGTCGACGATGAGGACTTTGTTGAGCTGAAGAATAACGTTTGTCTCCATTGATTGTAACTGAACCACGCCTTGCCTGTTTGTTTTCAGGTTTTCGTTGTTGGCGACGGTGATGACGACGTCGCGGTTGAGGCGTCGCTCGTGTTGTACGAAGCGTCCGGAGGAGCACATGTGCTGACCGCAGCAACTGTCCAAGAACCAGGTGTTCCGCCCGGTGGGTTCGGCGTTAGCGACTGCAGCGTATGTCGGGTTGACCTGAAGTCCTTGCGAGCGCGGCGGCGGGAATTCCTCTTCGTCTGGTGCGTAAGTGGGTGGTGAAGCGGGTGCGCAGTTGTCGATGTGTACCATGCAGTTGATGATGTTGGGTGTTTGTTGTGCAGATGTTGAAGAGCGCCTTGGAGGACTTGCTTGAGTGGAAGCGACTTGTGGGTCTGCTGCACGGTAAACGCGAGGGCGGTTGCAGTTGACCTTGGAGTGCCCGGAAGTCTGACAGTTGTGGCAGAACGGCGGCACGATGGTGAGTCCTCGGTTGTCGCGTTGATCTTGCTTGCTGCGTCGGTTGTAGTTGTTGTCATTTCTTCTTTGAGTGTAGAAGACTAACTGCTGTTGCTTCCTTGGTTGTCTTTCCTCGAACAGATCCATCTCCTGTTGTTCAGCGTGAAGCTCGGCGCAGAGGTGCATCTCCGAAATTCTTCCGTGGGCTCGAAGAAGTGATCGTGTGGTTCTCCATTCTGGCCCGAGCCCGGCGAGGACAAGTGTCACGAAGCTTTCTTCAGTGATCGTTCCTCCGCACCGAAGCAGGCGGTCGCGGAGGGTCTGGCAGCGACTCATATACTGCATCGCCTTTTCCCCGGTCTTCATCTGTATTGTTGTCAGCTGTTGCATGAGTCTGCTTTGTGTCACGCTGTCGTTTGCTTGGTAAAGGCATTTGAGGTGGTGCCATGCGAGCTCCGCGGAGTTTCCATAACTCCGATACGTTCTGATGCTCTGCTGCTCTTGTGGTGACAGGTTTCTCAGGAGTACCGTGTACGCCAGCAGCGACTGATACGTGAAGATCTCTTGTTCCTTCCCAGTGCCGTTGCTTGGGAATGGCAGGGACCCGTTGAAGTATCCCAGAAGATGCGCGGCCTCCATCAGCAGCTCAAACTCGAAGCTCCAGGTAAAGAAGTCGTGTCCGTTGAACGGTGAGGATGTCTGAAGTTTGATCACGTGTGAGAACTGCGCCTGTAAACTTAAGATTTCATTCGGTGTTTGTTGTGAAGCAGCTGCTGTTGGCTGGGCACGGGGCGGCATGAATTCGAACGTCCCCGGCGAAGAATGATAAGGCGCAAAGGTAGGCGCTTGGTTGTGTCGCCCGAAGGATGAGTTGTCGAGGCTCATCGGCGCTAATCCCATATTCCCTCCATTGCTCTGTGTTGAGTGCGCAGGTGTCCTTGTCTGCTGCTGCTGGTCGAAGTGTGACATGAAGCTGAAGAATCTCTCCATGAGATTCGGGTCCACACTTGAAGAGGGAGACGGAGTCACCATCTCTGGTACTCTTCCCGTTGTTTCTTGAGTAGTCCCGGTCTCTGTCTGCAGTCCTGAGGTGTGCAGACCAGAGTTGCCGTGTTGAGTTTCTTGGGCGCTGGGTGAGCCCGTAGAGACTTTCTTGCCCTTGTTGTCCATGTCTTGTAATCAATGGAGTTGTTGAATCAAGTTGAGTTGCTGGTTGTTGATGGAGTGTAGTTGCTGGGAGTTTTGATCTCTGACCAGCTCTCATACCATGTTGGGCTGAGAAAAGCCCTTAGGATCTTTTGCAGAGACTAAGTCCCAGCTGTAGAGACTTGAGACTTGGAGTAGTGCAGCGGAAGTTGAGGCAGTTGAACCCTTGTACTAGTATGTGAGAACAAGTGATTGATTAAAGAAACAAGCATACAGCAATATATAGAAGATAAGAAAGCAGTTGTAGAATACAGTTACAGGAACGGTTTATCGAGTCGCACAGCGACTCGATTGCCGCTTCGGTTACCATCCGTGATGTTGTAACGGTCAGTCGCAACCTCCAGTTGCGACCTTTCGAGTCCTTTCGCATTCTTTGTCCGCCCCCTCGTGTAACCTCCGTTGACTCGCGTGCTCCCCTGTAATCTTCCTCGAGTACAGTGTTACACTTCAGAAACGCTTAAGTCCTTGAGATATTTCCAACATGCTCGGGCTCAGATGCTGTAATGGGGCTGCTTTAAGCGGGAAAATGTGGATGTGGATCTCTGAGTTAGAATTGTTGAGTAGAATGAGAGCATACAGGGGTATATAGCTAGTGGGTTGTACTCTCTATGGCATGACCCTATGTAGTCTACTAAACATACACCCCCTAGACTAGATAGGGGCAGAGCCTAGTGAGAGACAAGCAGCTCAGGGCAGCACTACTAGTCCAACCTTTGAGGCAGGGGTCTGAAGACCAGTCAAACGAGTACAAACAAGGCAAGAACAAGACCAGGGCGGCACTAGTCCAGCCACTGGGAGAAAGCCATAAGGTCGGTCAGGATAATATATAAAGAGTTATACACAATCAAGGTCCTAGCAAATAAGGTGCTACAGGAACGAGACCAAGCTATACGCAGTGCCGCTGATGATCTTTAGGCGCAAGCGCCTTCGTAAAGATATCAGCTGTGTTGGCACCGGAGGCCAAGTGTACTACCCGGGCCTGGCGACACTGCTGTAGCTCGCCCAGGAGGAAGTACCGCAGCTGGATGTGCTTCGCTCTGCCCTCGAGTCAGGGCTCCTGACACAGGAGGATCATGGCTCTGTTGTCAGCATACAGGATCGGGGCAGAGCTAGGCCGCTCACCTAAGTCTCTGAGCAAGAAAGTCCGCCAACGGAGCTCCTGTGCCGCCATGGCATCGGCATAGATCTCAGCCTCACAGCGAGACTGGGCAACAGACGACGAGCGGGTGGACTTCCACGAGACAGCACCTGCACCAAGGCTAAAGCAGTAGCCCTGGGAGGACCTAAGAGTCTCGGGGTCGTTTGCCCAAGAAGCGTCTGTGTGCCCGGTAAGGACCACTGGTCTGCGTCCTCCTAACACTAGCCCCATGCCCGATGTACTTGCTAGATAACGCAAAACCCTCTTAGCTCCAGACCCGTGCTGTGGTCGGTGTCTACCGGAGGCCACAAAGCGGGCCAGGATGCTGAGAGGGTATGCGAGATCTGGACGAGTGCAAGTCATCACGTAAATGAGGCAACCCACCAGCTCTGCGTAAGGACCACTAGGCTCTACAGCCTCCTCCGGGACTGGAGCAGAGAGTCTATGGTCTACTGGCAGAGGGGTGGGCTGTGCGGAAGTGATCTGAAGGCCGAACCTCTGAAGGACCTGGCGCACCAAGTGTGACTGTGTGAGAGTGATGGTGCGCACTGCTCTGTCCCTGGAGATCTACAAGCCAAGGTAGCGGCGCAGCTCTCCTAGGTCAGTGCAGGTGTGTCTCCTCAGCAGCCCGGCCTTCACGGAGGCCAGCGCGTCTCTGTCTGCAGTAGCAAAGACCAGATCGTCTACGTAAACAAGGATGTAGAACGGAGTCTGGCCGGAATGAACGAAGAGCGAGGGGTCCACAGACGACGGGAAGAACTGCAGGTCAGCATGTATAGCACGCAGCGTATCGTGCCACTCACGGGGCGCCCGGCGCAGGCCATAGACAGGGCGACGGAGGAGCCGCTCGGTACCAGGGGGAAAGGTACCAGAGAAGCCCTGGGGGCGGCGCAGGTAGACTTGCTTGTGTAGACTGCCCTGGAGGAAAGCTGTGGAGAAGTCAAGTGAGTGCAGTTCGTAGTCCCGCTGTGCTGCTATGTGTAGCATTGCCCGAAGAGTAGTCATCTTCAGGGTCGGGGCGTAGGTCTGAAATAATTCCACCCCCTCACGCTGACTGAAGCCACGAGCAACGTAGCGCGTCTTGAAGACAGGCGGCTCTCCAAGAGGGCGCTTCACCTTGAAGAGCCATCGGCCATCGACTACGTTCACCCCTGGTGGGGGAACTGCGTCGACGAAGGTACTGGTGGATCTCCAAGATGCCATCTCCTGCTCCATGGCAGCTATCCACTGAGAGGCCCAGGGTCCCGAGGTGGCCTCAGCGTAGGTGCGAGGAGTCGGGATGTCAAGGGCGTCTGGCTCACCCTCAGCGACTAGTAGCATGTAACAGAGATGGAGAGCGGCTTCTGACAGGAAAGCAAGCTCGTACTGTCTGTCCTCTAGGAAGTCACTGCCAAGGGCAGCCACACCCCCAACGGACAGAGGGCAGGCAGGGTCAGAGACCAGAGCGGTGGCGTAGTCAAGGTGGCGGGTAGCAGCGAAGTCAGTGACAGCGGCAACAAGAGCCGATAGACTCGAGATAGGAACGGACGGGTCGGTAACAAGAGAGGCAAGGACACGAGGAACAAGTGGACACACGACACGGAGGAAGTCAGAAAACGTAGGCGGGGCCACAGCGAGCGACGACGGAGGAGGAGACGGGAGGAGCGGAGGAGCACGAGATGCGTGGGAGCGAAGCAACAGAGGGTGAAAACACGGAACAGGGGAGGTAGGACGAGCACGAGACGGACGACGGGCCCAGACGTGAGACGGAGGAGTCGGGTCAGGAGAGAGGGGAGGAGACACAGGAGGAGAACGATGAGGGAAACGAGCCGGAGAAGAGTCCACTGGGGGAAACACAGGGCCGTAGATCGACAGAGGAGGAGGCGGTGGCGACCGAGGAGGCGCCGGCGGGCGGTCAGTGGAAGGAAGGCCGAGGAGGCGAAGAGCGAACACAGGCGGCGACTGCGGCGGCTGCTGCTCGACGCCAACACCAGAACCTCCAGCGGCACCACGGCTCCCTCTGAGAAGCCCCACGCCAGCGCCCCCAGAACGGGAACCCGTTCCAGTACCCGCTCCGGCATGCTCCCCAGCACCCCTAGAACGCACAAACCCCAGCGGCGGTGACGACGGCGGCTGCGGCTACGGCGGCAACGGCAGCTGCGGAGGCGGCTGCAGCTGTGACAGCAACGTCGGCGACAGGGGAGGAGAGACCGGGGCAAGAACAGGCGGTGGAAGGGACTCCGCTGAGCCGCAAGAGTCAGCAGACTCCTCGGCAGGGACAACCGACGCGAGGGAGGTGACGTGAGACATACCAGATGGGGCAGGGCAGGGAGGGGGAGGAGCAGGGGCGACCGAGGGAGGGGGGGGAACCAGGAACTAGGGGGGAAGTGACCAGGGGACCACAGCGGGGAAAGCGGTGGTAGATGGAGACAGACTCGTCAAAGGTGACGTCGCGAGAGTGAAAGAAACGGTGAGACGGCGGGTGGTAGAAGTGCCAGTCAGACGAGTCGAGGGGGAAACCTAGGAAGACACAGGGGACGGTGCGGGCAGTGAGCTTGTCCGTGCCAGTGGCACGAACGTGACCAAGGCAGCCCCAGACGTGGAATGCAGACGCGTCACCAGGAGACCCGGTCCAAAGGAGGGTTGGTGAAACCTGCGGCCGCTGAGGGTGCGGCCACAGGTTAAGCTGGTGGGCGGTGAAGCAAATGGCGAACGGCCACAGAAAATGGGGTGCATCGGCATGGAACATGGAGGTACGAGCCACCTCCATGACCAAACCGATGCGTCGCTCAGCGACCCCATTCTGCTCTAGGGAGTCCGGCAGGTTGTACGTCTGGGTGATGCCCTCCACACGACAAAATCGACCAAGGCATCCAGAGGCAAACTCGCCACCACGGTCGGAGTGAAGACGCAACACATGGAGACCTCGGTGCACACGCGCAGAGACAAGCCATGGGATAAGAACGTTGGGCACGTCGGCCTTCCGCTCTAGGGGAAACACGGTGGTGTAGCGAGTGTAGTCGTCGACAAGTACTAGGAAATAACGCTTACGACGCGGCCCATGGACGGGGGCGGGGCCCCAGACGTCCATGTGCAGGGTCTGTAATGGTGCGGTGATGGGGGGGAACAAGGAGGAGTGAGGGGCACGGTGGAGCCAGCCCTCGACGCAGGGGGTGCACGAAGGCACTGCCGAGGAGGGGAGCGCAGGGAACAACACAGGGAGACCTAAGACAAGAGCGTGCCGAGACATGTGACGGAGACGTGTGAGGGAGGGGTGACCTAGGCGGTGGTGCCACAGAAGCGACGGGTGAGTAAGCGAATGACAGCAAGACGCAGCAACCTGGGTAGACGCTGCCATCTGGGGGGGCGTCCCAACTGGGGGGGACGCGGTGTCCAGCGTGAACAGGCCAGACACTTGGTCCATGGGGAACGTGGTGAGGGGGGCACCAGTGGTGGCCTCGGTACAGACAGCTTACCTCTTGTGACCAGGGAACATAGTGGTGACGCTGAGGTCCTGAAGACAGCCGACACCAACTAGATTCCGAGAGAACGAGGGGATGTGCAGGCCTGCAAGAGAGCCCGAAGGAACTGCCGGACAGGGAAGAGTGGTGGAAGTATGGGCGACTACTAGACCTGACGAAGTGTCTGCAAGGGCAGCTGCAGAAGGGACGGCAAGCGGCGTAAGCGAAGTGTGTTCCTGAAAGAAACACCGAGATGCGCCAGTGTCGAGAGTGAAGGAGAGCGTGGTAGTGGCGGCTGGGGGCGGAGGAGCTAGGGTGGAGCCAAGGCTAAACAAAGCAAAGGGTCGTACGCGTGACCCAACAGGGGAGCCTAAACTAGGCACACTGGACACACCTACACTAGGCAACATGGAGTAATAGGAACTAGTCACACTAGAGTCATCGACATACAGTACATAATATGAAGAGATAATATGTCCATATCAAAGATCCTAACACCACAGCGGAGTAGACTGTGCCAGTCGAGGAGGTCCGGCGCGGGGCCGAAATGGAGACGAAACAGGTCGTCCAGGCGACTGAAACAGCGAGTGGGGGTATGACCGATCTTAGCGCACACGAGGCCACAGTGAGGACCGGTCTGGAGCGGGTACTGGCAGCGCTCGTCACTTGCACCACCACCCGACGACGAGCTATGCGCACGACCACCGCGACCACCACCACCACCAGCGCCAGGCCCCCCAGGCGGGAGTCGGACAACCCGCCTCTGCGACTGCTGCTGCTGCTGGTCAAGCTGTGGCGCCTGCTGCTGCTCCCGCTGGGGCTGCTGCTCCCGCTGGGGCTGCTGCTCTGAGGCACCAGCCCCAGCCCCCTCGTCGGTACTACCGCCAGCGGATGAACC